TTGGAAGTAAAGTTTCTATGCTAGCAAAATACACATGCCAGCACCTTGACTGAGGCCCTGCCTCTTCCAGCCATGCTGTCAACCAGCCAGTATTTATGAAACCCCCCTTCTGCGGTAGGCACTGTGCCACTGGGTGGGTCCACTGGTGGACAGGGTAGATGGGCCTGTGGTGGGTGCCCAAGGCTGCGCTGCGAGAGGGGAACCCAGGCAGAAGAGCTTCTGAGCTCCTGCTGTGGTCTGTCCCTGGGAGTAACCTTTGAGACAGTCTGACGCCCCGTCACTCCTCCCGTTTCCCCTTCTACCCTGCATTCTCAGTTAAAGCGGAGACCGTCTTAGCTCTGGGTCCCCGGGGCTCTGTGCAAGGCCGCGGAGAGGGTGCTCATCCTGCGCTGCAGGGAGTCCTCGGGTCCTCCGTGTCTGGCCACGCAGCCAGCTGGTCACCACTCCGAGAGGCTGCCGCGGGAGGGAGTCAGTGTCAGACAAGACCTCTCTTCTCAGTATGTGTCCAGTATCGCTGTGGGGGTGGGGGTGGGCATCCAGAGCAGCCATGTGCATTGGGGGTCTAGTGCTGGGAGACTGCGGGGGTCACGAAGAATAGCGCTCTGCTCAGACACTCATGCTGGGCTGCAGGGGGCGTATTTCGCATCTTTCATCTGTGCTCCCTTCTGTTCCACCCGAGCTCTGTCGGGCGACTCCGGGAGCACTCTCCTGAAGTGGTCCCTCCAGGCCTGGGAGGGTGGGGGTGCAGCCAGCATGAGTGTGCCGTCTGCCGCCTGCTGCTTCCCCTCAGCCCCGTCCACTGGGGGGAGTGTGCATCGGTCCAGACTTAGAAGGTGGTTTGGTATATATATAAAAATAAAAATAATATATATATATAACCTTTGACCCACTGATTCTGAGTATCCCAAAGAGAGAGATGTACAATGGTGTCTGATACTGTGATGGCAGAAAAAGAAAGAAAGAAAGCAGAAAAGTAAAGCAAGCAGGCAAGCAAGCATCCGTGTGTCACCCCGCGGGGATGGTCAGACTCACCCATGTGGAGAACTGCAGCAAAGAGGTGGGGCTTCGCAGTGCGGGCACCAGTCAGGCAGCACAGGCAACAGTGTTGTAAGTGGTTTGTTTTCACGGTGCATGATGCAATCACATTCCTACTTCTAGATTGGAGGGCACTTTTGTATACAGTGACAAGGAAAGGGTTTTAAAGACACGTAGTGGGAAATGGCAAGTGCCAGAACCATGTGTTTGATACTGTGTGTTTAAACAATTAATGATATTCTTTCTATTTATGTAGATGCATAGGTTTGAAAATGATAAGGTTTCTTCTAAGAGAATTGAGATGAGGAGGTGCTCTAGGCAGACTTTGTGCATTATTCATATTTAAAGTTTTCAATAAGAATGTATTAATGCAAAACCTGTGTAATTGGAAATTAACAAAAGAATGCACTTTTTCAAAGAAAACCTCCCAGAATTATGGAAGAAAGGCAAAGAAGCTATTAGGGAGTGTGTGGCCTCTTGGGATCAGCAAACATGTTCTGGTCACTGCAGGGCAGCTTGTATCTCACGACTGCCACTTAACCAGCATGTGGCTTTGTGCCTCTGTGCCCTCTTACGTACAGTGATGAGGGATTGACCTCCTAGGTTACTGTGAGGGTTGAATGGGCTGTTCCAGGTGTAGTGCCTGCCGTGGCCACTTTTATTCTACATTTTAGTATGTGTTTCATTCTGTAAGGCACCGAGTGCAGACTGGGTCTGTAGAATGTGCACAGATAGTCTTTTTGGGCTCTTGCCTTTTGATGACGTCACCAGCATAGCCTGGGAGTTACGTTTAGTAAAGGTGTTTGTCCAGGGAGCCAGACTGATGTTGTACAGGAGCTCTGCTTTCCAGTCGTCAAACCAGAAATAAAGAAAGAACTCACCATGGGACTCAGAATAACGTGTCCTTGGGTTGTCCTCCCAGAAACTTCCCAGCAGTTGGTGAGAAGCAAGTAAAGTCACCAGGACCAGATGAAGGGGGTGGAAGTAGTGTTTAATGGGTGTGAGGCCCCCATCGAGGAATGAGAGAAAGTTCTGGAGAGGGATGGTGGGGATGGTTGTATAAAAATGTGAACGTACTTAATGCCACTGAACTGTACATGTAAACATGATTGAAATGGCAAATTTTATGGTATCTATATATTACTACACTTAAAACAAGAGAAATGGGAAGGAAAGGAGGGGGTTAGTTGCTGGTCAGTCACTGAGTTCTAGAATTAGTTTCCATCATGTCACAAAAATGAAGCAGTGTAGTCCCTATTTAGGCTTTGCACAAGACGGTACAAGTGACGGCACCCTCATTCTCAAGAGCGTCGGCCACTGAGCACAGGAGCAGAGGGTGCACGGCAGGTGCTTTCTCTTGGTCCACGTGGCGGCCAGGCTTGTGTACAGCTGGCCACTGAGCAGGATTGCTTTGTGTCCTAGCCGGAATGATGGAACAGCTTTCTTCTTCCAACAAGTATTGGTGCCCCAGCTGCGCGCCAGGCTCCCCCAGGTGCTGGATGTTCCTGAGTCAGACGGGACTCCTTCCCCGAATTGCCTGTTGAATATGTGAGTGGGGTCGTCGTGCCAACAGTTGGGCTCAACTTTGGATTGTGCGTGTTAGTCCAGAGAGGCTTTTCAGGTGGCGTGGGCTCAGTATTATGGCCACTTGTGGATCGTCCTTTGCAATGTGTCTGTTCAAATCATTCACCCATTTGCAAGTTGGGTTGTTTGTCTTGAGCTGTAAGAATTCTTAATATATGCATGTGAGTTCTTCGTCAGACACACATGTGTTTTTGGAACATTTTTTCCAGTCACTGGCCTGCCTTTTCCTTTTCATAATAGTACCTTTTAAAGAATCAAAAAGTTTTTAATTTTAATGAAGATCAATTTATTACCTGTTTTTCTTGTACAGTTCATACTGTTTGTGTTCTAAGAAATCTTTGTCTGTCCCAAGGTTCGTAAGGATTTTTCTCTTATGTTTTCTTCCAGAAGTTTTATAGCTTTACCTTTTACTTTAAGTCTGTAATCTATTTCATGTCCATCACTTCCATCATGTTAAACTTCGGCCTTTCATTCTTGGTTATCTGCCCATTGTGACACCGTGTGTTGTTTTTGACATGTTGCTGGATTCAGTTTGTTGGTATTTTGTCTTTGTGTAAATGAGATCGGCCTGGGACCACCTATCGGGTTCCCAGGTGGGAGCTCTGCTGGCCTCATGAGGTGAGCAGGGGTGTGTGCCGGCTTGGAGTTCAGTTAGATGATTTGTGTTTTGAATGTGGGTGGGACTCCCCAGCGGAGGCATCTTGACCATGAGGCCTCTGACCGACAAGGTGGGGTCCCTGGAGTTTGGGGAGCAGCGGTCTGGACAGCATTTCCCAGGCCCAGTGCAGCATGTGGAAACACAGGTGAGATGGTGCCTGGCTGCCGCTCAGGACGCTGTCATGCTCCTGCCCTGGGGCTTCCCGCTCCTTGGGATGCGGCCTCCCAGCTGGGGTCACAGGCCCGGCGCAGCCTTGGTGGAACTATCAGAGCAGATGCTGCCAAGAAGCTCCATCTGCCCAGGGACTTCCCGGGCAGTGGGAGTTAGAGGCAGAATTGGCAGGTGCCCAGTCTTGCCTCCTGGGCCTGGCACAGGGGATGCCGGGAAGAGCCAGTTTGAATAAGGACAGCCTTCTCAGGCCGCTCTCTGCATGCTCTGCAAAGGAATGGAGTGAGTCTCTCATTCTCACTTCCTGAAGGACTGCCAAGACTGTGCCCTGGAGAAGGTGGCTTCGAGCAAAGCTGAGCTCACACCTCTCTGCTGTGGGCCATCTTTCAGGTGCCCCCCACCTGCACCCCACGCCTGCTGTCCGAATCCATGTCTCCCTCTTTACCACAACCCATGAGCTGCTGTTCCTGATAAACACTGAGATTTTGAGCCTCTAATAGCCTGTTCACTGTCAGCCCTTTGCATGTTTCCCTTGCCAAGGACCTTTGGGGAGGGCAGGCACCTCAACCTTTTCTGTCTGTACCTTATTAAGCACCGAGTATAAGAAAGGTCAAGAATTTGGTGAGTTGAATTAAAACACCTCAAAACGACCCCTAGTTGCTGACATGAGGTTGCTAAGTGGGCTTTCTTGAAGTGGAGGCATGCAGAGTGGGTGGGTGGGCATTGGCAACGGCGCCTTTGCTGGGCTGTGGACAGGTAGGCAGAGTAGGGCACAGGGGGTGCTGCAGGTGCCCATGGTGCTTACAGGACAGGTTTGTGTTCAATGGGATTCTGCTGCTGTGGAGCCCAAGGAATGGGCGGCAACAGCTTAGCGGCAACGACAAGCATCCGTTTCATGCTCATGGGCCTGCTAATGGGCTGTGGTTTGACCATCCTGGCCAAGTGCAGTTGGACTTAGGCATTGGGTCAGCTCAGGGTCTTTGCACTGGAGCCCAACCTGCAAGGGCATCGGTGCCCAGGTGGCCATTCACAGTCGGTCATAGGAGGATGAGGCTAACCCAGTCACTCAACCCACTGAAGCCTCTGCTCGGGCCACATCCTTGACTTCCCAGAGACCAAAAGCAAGACCCACAGCCTAAGCAGCACCTGTCAAAGGGTGGGGAGGTGTACTCTGTGTGCACGACAGGAGGCCCTGCAGAGTCCCACGGCAAAGAGCAGTATCTAATCCTCCAGCTTTGGGAGCAGGAATCCTGTCCACAGTCGTCTTCTGTCGTGCCTCAAGGAAGTTCTGGAAGCGCCTGCCGTCTGCTGTGTGTAGCATGCACAGTGCCTGGCATGGAGGAAGCTGTCTGATGTTTGAGTGACCAAATAAATAAGCATAAACCCACTGGAGGGTCTAGTTTGATTCTTTATAGCAGAAAGTTGAAAGTCATGTCACTAAAAGAAGCCATATGTCTTATAAAGTTGCTTATAAACCAATATCTAAAGAATGCGGTCCTTGTGTGCCATCGTTCTGATTTTACTGACATTTTCCTCGAATTCTGTCTTGTTTCAGGGAAATAGTGGAACATATGGTCCAGCACTTTAAAACACAGATCTTTGGGGATCGGAAACCAGTGTTTGATGGAAGAAAGAATCTCTACACGGCGATGCCCCTTCCGATTGGGAGGGATAAGGCAAGTCCACAAGGCTGCATTTGGGTCGGTGTGCGGTGAGACTTCCAATGGTGCAAAGCTGATAGTTCCTTTTGTCACACACTAAATCATTTCACCCAAAGGGAAGCTGCCTGGCTGTGCGCTTCATCTTGAGGTCCATAAAAACTACTTCCCATGTGTCGTGGTTTCCACTGACAGTGGGTTAAGCTGTCTAGGTCCAGAGACAGGAGTTGAGAACTTCTCAAAACCACCAACAAACTTTTCAATGTAAAACGCACACCCACAGGCATGTGCCACATACCAGCAGCAGGCAGGAACCTGCTTGTATAGTGGGACTGTAAAGGCCTGTGGAGAAGGATGTTCGTGTGCCACAAGCTCACCGAGCCACAGCCAGTACTCCCTGGAATACAGTGATCAGCGGTGCGCAGCCAGCCCAGGGGTAGTGGCTGCATTACAGTATTGTGTTTGCTCATCGTCTCTGTCTTCACTGTGGCTTTATTTAAAAAGTAATAAAATTTCCGCCTAGAAGTTGTCACTTGTTGACACATCTTTCAACAGATGGGCTGCTCCAGGGTGATGCTGTGTGTTGTTTACAAGTAGAGGAACAAAGACTCAACTTAGAAATACACACGTTAAAAAATAAAACAACAGCAAAACCCCTAGTGACCTAGCAGTTGTCCCGGTGAGAACAGGAGAGCCGACTCCCTTCGAGAATGACCTGTAGAGTGGCTTCCTAACCCTGGGCCTCTGGAAGGAGAGGAGCTCAGTGCTTTCGGGTCTCAAACTGCTGTCCAGTGAACGCTAGCTTTCCCACAGGCATTCCATATTTGTGCTTTTACATGTTAGTGATAATCATAAATGACGGTTCCTCTTGGCCATGGAGATTGCCAACAGGCCGGGCAGTTTTAGCATCCAGCAGTACCGCTTGGAGTTGTTCTGATAAGAGTGGAGCACGTTCTGCCGAGGGGAGGTGGGGATGATAAGGGCCCTGAACTGACTGGCCTCAGGGTGATCCTTAGAGATAACCGTGGTGCCCGGCTGTGTGCTGCTGGGCACTGGGTGATTGACAGCAGTGTTCAGAACTTGAGGGTGTCCCGGGACCAGCTGAGGAGGTCATCCCTTGCAAATTAGCATGCTGTGCAGTTGAAATTTACTGATTATAAAGTAATGTGCTAATTTGCACCTTTGTTTATGCTTAAAGTTGAGTAAGAAAGGAAAGCATAAGGAGTTTATTCACAGTTTTGTCTGTACACATTTATAATTAGACACTAGGAGGGGCATGGGGCCTTTTCCTCCAGAAGGGGTAGAGAGTTGATAGGATACCCACATTTGAAACACATCGGTGTAAAAGTCAACCCAAGCGCTGGGCCTGAAGTAGATCTGATTGGAGTCTTCGCGTTGCCCTTATTTGTGGTGGGACCTTGGGTGAGCCACCTCTTGCCAAGCCTCAGCTGCCACACCTATAAAATGAGGAGATTCAACTGCCTTCCAGGTCCTTGTGAGGACTGAATGCATCCACTTTGAGAAGAGCTGCTTTGCTTGTAATGTGCTTCCTGCCTCTGTGGGACATCTGTTACATTCAGGGACCTGCTTCCAGGTGACATCCATGCCACTGGTCCCAAGTCATACCTTGAGTTGTCAGGGTTTAAATTTTTAATACAACTCCTGAGACACAGCACACAGTCAGCAGACACTAATGGTTATGGCTTGCGGTCTGAGGGATCCTTCTCTGTCATCCTCATCAGCGTCTTTCTGGGGTGCCCCCAAACCCACAGCAGCCCTTCGTACCTACTGCCCAGTACCTGGCGGGCACTCAGCATCTTACATTTCGTCCCACTCATCCTCAGTTTTTTTCTCAGATGAACTTGGAGCTCATTTGTGTTGTTTTTTTCTTTTACATTTCCTCTCTTTTTCTGTTAACTTACTTTTCTTTGCATCGTAGGCTCTTCTGTGGCGAGAAGGAAACGTTTAGTGTCCCGCTAACCCCACGTCTGCTAGCAGCTGGATGGGGGCTGCAGGTGGCTCTCTTCCAGGTCTGTGCACAGAAGGTGACCTGTGGCCCGTGGCCCGTGGCCCTTACTCCAGGAAGGTGGCTCTTATAATCTTGTCTTACTCAGTCCACTGAAATACTAGCACACCCACCTTAATTCCAGCTCCACTTGGAAAGAGAATCACTTGATTTGGGCTCAGACACCCGTGACCCAGGATACNGGGGCTTGGGCCTCGTGTCCACGGCCAAGGCCGGTGCTTGCACCAGCAGGCCATTCCATGTCCCTTGGTTTGCAGCCAACCGGAGCGTTGCTGCCTGTTTAAACGTGTGAACTGCACAAGGGTTTGGGAGCTTTGATTTTACTATAAATTCTGATGGATTTTGGCTAAGGTCTGATCTCAAAATTATATGATCAGTCCAAATAGTATAGAAAAATGTTGGAAGTAAAGTTTCTATGCTAGCAAAATACACATGCCAGCACCTTGACTGAGGCCCTGCCTCTTCCAGCCATGCTGTCAACCAGCCAGTATTTATGAAACCCCCCTTCTGCGGTAGGCACTGTGCCACTGGGTGGGTCCACTGGTGGACAGGGTAGATGGGCCTGTGGTGGGTGCCCAAGGCTGCGCTGCGAGAGGGGAACCCAGGCAGAAGAGCTTCTGAGCTCCTGCTGTGGTCTGTCCCTGGGAGTAACCTTTGAGACAGTCTGACGCCCCGTCACTCCTCCCGTTTCCCCTTCTACCCTGCATTCTCAGTTAAAGCGGAGACCGTCTTAGCTCTGGGTCCCCGGGGCTCTGTGCAAGGCCGCGGAGAGGGTGCTCATCCTGCGCTGCAGGGAGTCCTCGGGTCCTCCGTGTCTGGCCACGCAGCCAGCTGGTCACCACTCCGAGAGGCTGCCGCGGGAGGGAGTCAGTGTCAGACAAGACCTCTCTTCTCAGTATGTGTCCAGTATCGCTGTGGGGGTGGGGGTGGGCATCCAGAGCAGCCATGTGCATTGGGGGTCTAGTGCTGGGAGACTGCGGGGGTCACGAAGAATAGCGCTCTGCTCAGACACTCATGCTGGGCTGCAGGGGGCGTATTTCGCATCTTTCATCTGTGCTCCCTTCTGTTCCACCCGAGCTCTGTCGGGCGACTCCGGGAGCACTCTCCTGAAGTGGTCCCTCCAGGCCTGGGAGGGTGGGGGTGCAGCCAGCATGAGTGTGCCGTCTGCCGCCTGCTGCTTCCCCTCAGCCCCGTCCACTGGGGGGAGTGTGCATCGGTCCAGACTTAGAAGGTGGTTTGGTATATATATAAAAATAAAAATAATATATATATATAACCTTTGACCCACTGATTCTGAGTATCCCAAAGAGAGAGATGTACAATGGTGTCTGATACTGTGATGGCAGAAAAAGAAAGAAAGAAAGCAGAAAAGTAAAGCAAGCAGGCAAGCAAGCATCCGTGTGTCACCCCGCGGGGATGGTCAGACTCACCCATGTGGAGAACTGCAGCAAAGAGGTGGGGCTTCGCAGTGCGGGCACCAGTCAGGCAGCACAGGCAACAGTGTTGTAAGTGGTTTGTTTTCACGGTGCATGATGCAATCACATTCCTACTTCTAGATTGGAGGGCACTTTTGTATACAGTGACAAGGAAAGGGTTTTAAAGACACGTAGTGGGAAATGGCAAGTGCCAGAACCATGTGTTTGATACTGTGTGTTTAAACAATTAATGATATTCTTTCTATTTATGTAGATGCATAGGTTTGAAAATGATAAGGTTTCTTCTAAGAGAATTGAGATGAGGAGGTGCTCTAGGCAGACTTTGTGCATTATTCATATTTAAAGTTTTCAATAAGAATGTATTAATGCAAAACCTGTGTAATTGGAAATTAACAAAAGAATGCACTTTTTCAAAGAAAACCTCCCAGAATTATGGAAGAAAGGCAAAGAAGCTATTAGGGAGTGTGTGGCCTCTTGGGATCAGCAAACATGTTCTGGTCACTGCAGGGCAGCTTGTATCTCACGACTGCCACTTAACCAGCATGTGGCTTTGTGCCTCTGTGCCCTCTTACGTACAGTGATGAGGGATTGACCTCCTAGGTTACTGTGAGGGTTGAATGGGCTGTTCCAGGTGTAGTGCCTGCCGTGGCCACTTTTATTCTACATTTTAGTATGTGTTTCATTCTGTAAGGCACCGAGTGCAGACTGGGTCTGTAGAATGTGCACAGATAGTCTTTTTGGGCTCTTGCCTTTTGATGACGTCACCAGCATAGCCTGGGAGTTACGTTTAGTAAAGGTGTTTGTCCAGGGAGCCAGACTGATGTTGTACAGGAGCTCTGCTTTCCAGTCGTCAAACCAGAAATAAAGAAAGAACTCACCATGGGACTCAGAATAACGTGTCCTTGGGTTGTCCTCCCAGAAACTTCCCAGCAGTTGGTGAGAAGCAAGTAAAGTCACCAGGACCAGATGAAGGGGGTGGAAGTAGTGTTTAATGGGTGTGAGGCCCCCATCGAGGAATGAGAGAAAGTTCTGGAGAGGGATGGTGGGGATGGTTGTATAAAAATGTGAACGTACTTAATGCCACTGAACTGTACATGTAAACATGATTGAAATGGCAAATTTTATGGTATCTATATATTACTACACTTAAAACAAGAGAAATGGGAAGGAAAGGAGGGGGTTAGTTGCTGGTCAGTCACTGAGTTCTAGAATTAGTTTCCATCATGTCACAAAAATGAAGCAGTGTAGTCCCTATTTAGGCTTTGCACAAGACGGTACAAGTGACGGCACCCTCATTCTCAAGAGCGTCGGCCACTGAGCACAGGAGCAGAGGGTGCACGGCAGGTGCTTTCTCTTGGTCCACGTGGCGGCCAGGCTTGTGTACAGCTGGCCACTGAGCAGGATTGCTTTGTGTCCTAGCCGGAATGATGGAACAGCTTTCTTCTTCCAACAAGTATTGGTGCCCCAGCTGCGCGCCAGGCTCCCCCAGGTGCTGGATGTTCCTGAGTCAGACGGGACTCCTTCCCCGAATTGCCTGTTGAATATGTGAGTGGGGTCGTCGTGCCAACAGTTGGGCTCAACTTTGGATTGTGCG